CTAGCATCTGATGATAGGTGAGCTACACGCTGATCATTTACACTGACGGTCTCACGAGTATCCATACCTTCTGCAACTGCACAGAGCCTTTGTTCAACTCAGTAGTAGCAGGCATTCCGCTCATCTCATCATGATCAACCAAAGACAAATCTGCACTATCATGATCATGTTGCGTGCGTTGTCTTACTAAACTGCTGTACACATATATTCTATGTATTTCTTCGCTCTTATTGATGTGCGCAGACGTTGTGGCTACTCGACGTTCACAACGTAAATCAAAAGACACTTGTGAAGAATACGAATATGTATTGAGGCAGTAGTCAAATTCCAAATTTTGTCAAGGTCATATTAAACAGTAAAATGACAAATGTTTGCGAAGTACATATAAAATCGGTCTGTATACACATATAAATCAAGTAAAGAAATTAGATTAAAAAGCATGTTTACAGTTGGTATAGGGGTACTACAATCATCATCACAGATATTCACTTTACCTCCGTTTGTATGATCAATTTCATCATTTTCAAACTCTTTAATAGCAGCAGTAAACGATTTGGGTTCTTCCTCACAAATTCTTAAAGGTTTCATACCTTTACTCTGACTATTAATACTTTGTAAACTTGTGGAGTCAGAACTAGACTCTGAAACTGTAACTCTCTTCTCCTGCACAAACTGCGGTGTCATCTGTGACACTATTCAAAAATGGCTTACTGGTTGCAACTACAGGCTTCTTCACCGCACCATTATCGTCACACCATTCGGAGTCAGAACTTGATGACGCTGACTTCACACTTAGCTTACCACTAAACTTGCTCACTGACTCACAGTTCGCCTTTGTATGAACTTCTTGCAAACGGACGAAACACAACTGTAAGTCTTGCAGCTTGTAACCTATCTGTTGAGGATGTACCACGAAATCTGTTACACTCATTAAGTTTATATGGATTACTAAACATCATAAAGCTCTCTCGATATCCACTTCTCTGAAACCCTTTCGTCATAAATGACTGCGTTTTGCCCTCAGACTGCTCTGTTGTAGATGTGGGATGCAAGATACTGGCAAACTTGATCATAGCTTGGTTGACACTCTCTTTCACCAGGCTCACAATATCACCCAACCCAGGCTCTAAACCCTCCTCTTCTAGACGGGAGCTGATCTTTATGCGCTAACTTCGCAGACAAACCGGTAGTCTCTTAGCGATTGTCTCAAGAACAGAGTTTGATTTCAACTCATCCATTTGGTTAAGATAAACGAGATTATCTCTGAATGCCATTAATTTATCCAAGAACTCTGCGAGTTTTTTAGAGTTATCACTTACCTGCACCCCATTACCTTTAACGGTCTCGAAAATACTGCAGGATATCTTAAATGGCTTTCCGAACCTTTGACGTATTATTCTCATAGCCTCTGTATATCCTTCGTTTGGGGATATAAACTCACAGCACTGTATATCTCTTGTAGCAAAACCAGTGCAACAAATACATTAACTTCATTTCATCATCTAATATAAAAACCACTCAACATTATCTCAAACTCGTTGATAAACTGTGGATAGTCAGTTGGGTTTCCATCAAATTACTGAGGCTCAAATTTAGGTAACTTTAAACCCTTACTATCCCTAAACGGCGAACCATGAACAACAGGCTCATCATGCTGAGCATCATAAATATCATTACAATTAACAAGTAACTTAGCATTGCTTACTTTCCTGTCTGCTTCCACGGTGCCGTGTCCCTTCTTTGGCCCAAGCATTATCCAACGTCACCAAAGGATCCAAATGGCGTTGATAATCCATGTCCAAAGGGATGCTGGCTGCGGACTGAGTAAGCACTTATGTTGGTGTCCGCGTCATGTGATCTGATTGCGACACACTCATCTACAAGAACCTAGGATTTGCACATGACTTCATCGCTCCAGCAAGACTTGTGAAAACGAGGCCTAAACAGCCCGGCTTCATACCCGTAAAGATTCGAAACCATCTGCGTAAGCATGCTACGCTATTCTACAGATACAGTGACTTTTCATCACTCATTACACTCAAGAAAACTTATGATTCACACAAATACAATCAATTATCTGAGTCCGTCAAACTGGAACGCGACCTCCACTCACCACCCGATAATACAGAGGCATTAGTAAAACTAATTAAGTCACGAACCGACAACAACAGAATAAGTATCCCTAACTTATTGCTAGATGGAGGAAGACTATACGAAGATCCGCAGGAGATATGCGAGTTATTCAGCTTCTACTTTGCTGGCTACTTAACTAACGAAGAAACAGCAGGTAGTCTTGATGTTGCGACACTACCAAATCACTTTTTGGGTAACACAGCATTCACCCCAGAAAAAATTTCATCCGCTACAGCATCCCTCCATACATCATATAATTCCGGCCCTGATGGAATTCCATCTATCCTCTTGTGAAGGGATGGTGAGGAAACGCCCCTTATCCTCCTAAAGTTTTTCAATCTACCCTTAAATAATGGCAGTTACCCAGAGCACTGGGAGATGTCGTTTATAACACCTGGGCACAAACCGTGACCAAATTCTAATATCGAAAACTACAGACCCATCAATATCACGTCGATAGTTTCCAGGATTATGGAAAACGTCGTAGGGTAAGATATTCCTTCACACCTCCACCTTCACAAAGTGTTTACTCCAGCACAAAACGGCTTCTTTAAAAGTCGATCATGCTCCGCCTGCCTACTTGACTATTTTGATGATATTACTGCCAAGCGTGATCATGGTTTGCCTGTCACAACTCTCTTCTCCGACTTCAAAAATGCCTTTGATAAAGTCCCTCACAAGAGACTAATTCTTAAGCTAAAGTCGTACGGTTTCCAGGACCCCTTGTTATCTTGACTCATTTTTTTCTTGGAAGACCAACCCCAACTTGTGAAATTCTCAAATGATTGCTTGTCATACAGACTTATACGAAGTGGAGTGACTCAGGGTAGTGCACTAGGGTCATTGATTCTCGTAATTTACATTAAAGATATCTGCAGTGTAATCAAGCATGGCACCCCATGCCTCTTTGTTAACGACCTAAAGATTGTATAGAGCTTCCCCTGTTCGACGCTGAATGAGGGATTCACGCGTATTTAACATGGTCTGGATACGTTGCATAACTGGAGCAATGCCCGGCAACTGCCATTCAATTCTGATAAATGTGGTATCCTATACTACAATAACTCCCGTCCGAATTTCATGTTGAATCTAGGTGACTCTTTTCTCCAAACCCTTAATTCCATACAATAATAATAAATATTTTGTAAAAACGGGTAAGCTGACATGAAATGCATGCCATTTTAGCAGACACGATCCACTATGTCCTGTTATGTCTTTCATATGTATCCATATATATATTTATGTGTGTGTGTATGTTGGTCGCTCTTTCTGTTTGCTCTCTTAGTCTGTGACCATTTCACTTGTATGAACTTGTCTCCTTTATCAATGTATATTCTCCTTATATTATATTATATATAATATGAGTGTTTGTTGACAGTCCGTTGCTTGGTGACATATATCCATATATGGTGGTTGTTGACATGTCTGCTATATTTTGCTATGTATATTTGGATCGACACTCCATTATAATTAGCCATTCATGTTAAGACTGTCTATTGATTTTACGAGTTGATCACGGATTGATATCAGTTAGAGAACCATTGTAAAACATAACTAATCCTTACAAACCAAACTATAGAAAGTCTATTGATTTGTTCACACACATTCATATATATTTCGCTCTCTCAATTTGTGTGACTTACCACTTTGGTGTGATACCATTTTTGCACTCTCCTTGTGTTTGGAAAATAGAAGTATCATCGCAAACCTAGTGGTCTTCTGATTTCCACCTTCTTGAGTCAGGACTATTAGTTTCTCGACCAGTCCATAACAATAATTTAGCGACGAGTACATAACAATTTGGCGACGGGGAAAATTATGGATTATTCTAAATTGGAATTACTGTTTGAACAACAAATGAAATTAATGGAAATGTTCGGCGACGGGGAAAACTACTATTAACCACTCAGCAGCAGCAACATAACAGTCTTCTAAGAAAGAAATGTGTGAAGGTAACAAGGGGTCCTGGAAACCGTACGACTTTAGCTTAAGAATTAGTCTCTTGTGAGGGACTTTATCAAAGGCATTTTTGAAGTCGGAGAAGAGAGTTGTGACAGGCAAACCATGATCACGCTTGGCAGTAACATCATCAAAGTATCAAGAACACAATTTTCAGCGAAGTAGTCAAGTAGGCAGGCGGAGCATGATCGACTTGTAAAGAAGCCGTGTTCTGCTGGAGTAAACACTTTGTGAAGGTGGAGGTACGTAGCAGTATCTTGCCCTATGACTTATTCCATAACCCTGGAAACTACTGAAGTGCATTTCACGTTGACTTACTAGGTCGAACCCGGCACCGCGAAAATGTGCAGATTACACGGGATAAATACTCAAAACAGAGTCCAAATACAATCAGCAGACGTGTAAATAAATATACGGAAGTAAAGCTACTCCGTGCAGCACACATTTGATGGGGAGCCGAAAAGTGGAACACTTCTATTCGCAGAAATCTGTGCGAGAAACATTTAATTAAAAGATGCATTGACAATATGAACCACCAAAATAAACCACCTAGGAAAGCATTGTGAATAAGGAAAGACGACAGAGATTTCTCGACCCAGTGTGTGACACACACTTCATTCGTCAGCAACACACTATTGTGGATGGAGTGAGGAGGACTTAGACTACGAGGCGAACATGCTCAAGCACCACGTACTCCGTCGTTGAAAAGCAATCACGAGTCAATTATTACCTGTGTCATTTCGTCATACGCCTTCTCTGACATCTGAGAGTAACTCACCACAGGCTCTAAACACCAACACCACCACCTACCCAATGCTCATCCACCTTCTTGTCCCTCACAAACCGGCAACATATTAGCCGAAAATAAGTGGAATATTTGGCAATCAGTGTATTTTTCATGTTTTCGTTTAGAAATTTTGAGGTTTATGTTTACAGATTGAGCTTCCATAGAAGTCTTGAGAGAGTTTTTTTGCAAGATTTACAATAATGGGGTTTTCGGTTATCCCTTGAACAAATCGAGTATGATTTTCATCCTGATTGTCAGAGCCGTTGTAAGCCAATTCACACCAGAACTGCATGGTCCGTTTCCAATAACCAGAGAACGTCTCCAGGACTTGTGGAATTGGAGCTCTTTCAAAAATGCCTGAAGAATATTATATATAAGTTAGAGATAATTACATAAATACTGAAGGGGCAAAAATGCACTTCTACGGAGTCGTGAGGCTGTCACATGGGTGGTTTTTGTAATCAAAACTTTCATCCTAATTTTTAAATTCATAAGAGTGATTTTGCACTAGATGTACACAGCTTCTACCTTAGTCAATCACCTTGTTCTAATTGATTTCAATACCTACGATCTACAATTTCTCCATCATTTAATAATATATTTCCCAAGGGATCTGCACCGTTACAAAACAGTTCCACTCAACGAATATATATGCCAAGGAGCAAACGACGTCTTAACAGAGAACAAATACAGAGGTGAAGACAATATCATGCATATACAGACAAGAGATACACGGACAGTACATCAAATTCATGTAACAGAGATTTATTTAGAGAATCTCATATAATTCACTACTATACGAGCTTTTTGTATTCTCCAATGAATAGGAAACAAAACGATACTGTTTTTCACTTATTGGGAAATGCGAAAATCCTTTCTTATATAGAATATCATATACCTGATGCCCGAATTTTTTCAAACTTAAAAGCGAACTTGGCTTGGACACATATAATTTCAAACAAAGTTTAATATTTTAAAATGCATAAATTTCTTTGAGTGTTGACGATATTCAGCCAAATTACAAATATTCTATAGGAGCTGACTGCAGGTCTCAGACAAATTCTACGCGAAAAGTTTACCATTTCCAAATTATAAGAAGAATAAATATTCCTGATACAAAATAAGGCTTTCACATCACATAACAACGATGGAAAATGGACACATAACATGGATAACTAAACCGCATTCCATAAAAAGTGAGAAGTAATCCATATTTTCAGATATAGAATTAAACATATCGAATTTACACAGTAAGGCTGTTAAGCGACGAATTCGAAAACCAATAATACTTGTGAGTATTAGGTCATCATATTGCCCTTATAGAGCTTGGTGTGCGTTGATGCTAAGGGACTGGACGATATCGACTCCCAGCTTAACGACACGGAGTAAAATGCTGGAGCATGTTGAGCACTTCACGACCAAGAGGCGTGTATATTGCTCATGAGTCCGCTCCGTCCTCCTTCATGGCTGTGAGACCTGGTCATTGGGAGTAGAAGACATGACAAGATTAGCTGTCTTTGATCACATGTATCTTCGTTCTGTCTCCCACGTTAGGTGGTATAATACAGTAAGCAACATTGAGGTTAGGCTTCAGTAAGGTAAGGAGGAGAAATCAATCGACGAGATTGTGAAGTTACACCAGCTGAGATGGTTAAGGCCAAGTGATACCCATGTCCCTCAATCGCCTTCCTCGACTGGGGATGATAGCTAACATAGTATCAGGTTGGAACAGAGTTAGTGGTGGTCAAACGAAAACATGGCATCAGTCAATGAAACCCACAACAGTTAGTTTAAGCCACGTAGAAAGGTGTAGACTTTCGGGTTGGGGTCCTCGGGACGGTGAAAACCAATGGCTGGAAACGACTGGTGATATGGCTCAAAATTGTTCTTAATGGCGCAGATGCATCCACTCCTTGAGACTTATGATTTCCAATGAAACTATATTGTTCTTCCTTATTAGTATTCCTTTGTCTCACACTTCTGTTTACTGTCTCTAGTATGCATTTCTTCTACTTTCTTCTCCTGTTCTGTGTGCTACATAGAGTGTGGCGACTTGAACTGCCGCATATATGTGCAAATTTCTATGTCGAAAACAGACAGACAGACATTACTAGTGTCTGATGATGATACTATGCAAGTCGATATACAGTCCCGTCAATTGTGTTTAGGTATCACTTAAGCTGTCGTCAAATGAGTGCTGTCATTCTGAGACATCGACATCACTAGTTTTAGTGCTTGACTTTTGCTCGCACAAGCCATGGTTTATTTCATGATTACTGTGCTGTTGCAGGAAGTTGTAGTCTGTTAATATAGTACACGAACTCCAGAAAGTGAATAGCATTTCCAAACGAAACCTGATTTCGGAATGTACATTGCAGTTTAGGATTTAGGACTTTGCACAAATCTGCAGCAGTTCCAGTTACCACACTCTATGTAGCACACAGAACAAGAGAAGAAAGTAGAAGAAATGCATACTAGAGACAGTAAACAGAAGTGTGAGACAAAGGAATACTAATAAGGAAGAACAATATAGTTTCATTGGAAATCATAAGTCTCAAGGAGTGGATGCATCTGCGCCATTAAGAACAATTTTGAGCCATATCACCAGTCGTTTCCAGCCATTGGTTTTCACCGTCCCGAGGACCCCAACCCGAAAGTCTACACCTTTCTACGTGGCTTAAACTAACTGTTGTGGGTTTCATTGACTGATGCCATGTTTTCGTTTGACCACCACTAACTCTGTTCCAACCTGATACTATGTTAGCTATCATCCCCAGTCGAGGAAGGCGATTGAGAGACATGGGTATCACTTGGCCTTAACCATCTCAGCTGGTGTAACTTCACAATCTCGTCGATTGATTTCTCCTCCTTACCTTACTGAAGCCTAACCTCAATGTTGCTTACCGTATTATACCACCTAACGTGGGAGACAGAACGAAGATACATGTGATCAAAGACAGCTAATCTTGTCATGTCTTCTACTCCCAATGACCAGGTCTCACAGCCATGAAGGAGGACGGAGCGGACTCATGAGCAGTACACCCGCCCTTTGGTCGATAGCCAGTCGGATATCATGTCTACGCCAGAGACGGCGTAAACTGGGATATGCGAAACTAGCCCTCTGTGGCCGTGCTGAAATTTCGTCAGAGATCAACCCGTTGGCACTGGATGATAGTACTTCCCTAATAAGTTAAGCGGTCAACGTGCTCTACCACTTCGCTCCCTATTTCTACACTAGGAGTCAGTGTAGTCCAGTCCTGTAACATCATCTTACATTATTTGGCGGGAGCGAATAGCATGCCAAACATTCGTAGATTGCAGCTCAAGGTGTTCAGAAGACTCTGCATTTTGTCAGCGTCCTTGCCTAGAAGAACTATATCGTCTGCATATTCTAAGTCAACGAGACTGTTATTCCCTGGTAGCAAGTCAATCCCCTGAGCCACTGAAGTGAATTAGGGTTAAGTCCATCAGTACATCTATGATGAAGTTGAATAGAAATGGGGATAATGGGGATCCCTGACGCACACAACTAGTCGTCACCACTTCAGGTGACAACTCGCCTTAAGCTCTCATCTGACTGCATGAGTCCGAGTAGAGTGCCTTGATCAGTGCGATGTATTTTCTCGGGATTCCCTTTACGGCTAAGCATCGCCGGAGTACCTCTCGGTCAACAGAATCGAATTCCGCCTTTAGGTCAAGAAATATAATGATTGTTGGACGCCGGTAGGAACGCCTATGTTCTAGAATCTGTCTAAGGGTGAAGATATGAGCGATACACCCTCTTCCTGGTCTAAATCCTGCCTGAGTAATGCTTTAAGTCAATACCCATTTACGATTTACCATGCTAACACCTGCTGAATTTTTTTCCTATTTCTTTATTTAGAGCGACGGCGCTGAGAAGAAATAATAATTTTCTTCTGAAGTCGTTCTGTATGCTTCACAGGAGAACTCAGACTTTCGTCCGATAGCCTGCCACATTTTACTACTTTTCTCTCCCAATAAATCACTCTTGCGAAAAGGATAAAATCCAAAATTGAAAACTAATTCTTACTGTCTTACCATCATCACTGTTATCTGAAGTTTCATCGTCAACACCTGCTGTTTCAAACTCTGAAGACTCGCTTGTATCTTCCTCTTCTTCCTCGTCTTCTGACTCACTTTCAAACCAAGCCTAATGCAAAAAAACAAATACACGGAATAAGTAAAGAGATGTGGTAATGAGGCCCTACTTTTTTCTCAGAATGTCAGGAGTGATTAATAATAACAATAATAAATAATAATACAGAGACGGTTTGATGGGTAAATTAACCCATGAAATTCCAATACGACCTATGAGTGCCTGCAGACTAACATATCTGGGTTACTATTATTTATTCAAACATAAACTTAGTGGATTACGAGCACTAGAAGATGCGCAAAAACGAAGTGACAGTTTGTGCAAGAGCTAGGATATACCCCAGACACCCGGACCGAAACAGGTGGTTGTCTTTAAAGGGCAACTCCCCTCCTCCTTCCGAGCCTTTGACTAGAACTCTGATCCACAAAGCAGCTGAGCTGAGTTCCCACGGTTATCAGTAACCAAAACAGATGAATACTCCATTCTATCCGTTCAGATTCTGGAATCCATAGATTCGGAATCAGGTTTTCCAGCTCCTCTATGTAGATATGGATATCCACCAGTTCAGTGTTAAGTACCAGAATTTTACATTCTCTCTTTCACTTTTGTGAGGAACACCTCCCACAGCACGAAGGCAGTGAATTCGACTTACCTGGTAGAAAGTATGGACACATGGCCACTTGAGAGCATTTCTACAGGAAGACAGAAGTCTACCCATACTCGGTTGCACCAAGTTATTTAAGGGGGTTTGTGTTACTAAACTAAAGCTTTATGTGTATAATCTACAAGAACCATAGCATACTTAACAAAAATAAAACCATAGGATAAATAAGAGCAAAGCACACTTCAGACCTCATTGATTGTTTTGCATATTTACCGTGAGAAGCACCACCCAGAGTTACAGGTTGGTTTCAGTTTTCCTGTAAAATAGTATGACCCACAAAAAAAACAATTCACCATCAAGATTTTTTGATAACCACCTTCAGGAGGAGGAATAATACAGGGTCTCACAAACTCTAGGTAGGTTGATAACAATCCCAGACAACCAACGACAGGAGATAAGCATTTAATTCAAAATGCTTATATTAATAGTTACAGACATGAAGATAAAGCAAGAAAAGAAACAGAAACGGATGATTGTGGGAAAACTGTAGTCCTACCATGTAAGGTACATCAGACACAATTCCAAAGAGCACAAAATGAATCTAATTAAACAAAGTCAACCAATTAAAAGACAGATATAACGTAGTGTACAAAGTATCTTGTGCTGACTGCCTAGTTAACTTTGTAAGCTAAACACCTATATAACTCAATAAGAATGCACAGTAAACCCACAGGAACAGAAGAGCACTAGAGTTTAAAAAAGAGTTCATATGTGGGATGAGAAAAATACTTAATGAGTCGGCATCTGTATTTTGAAGTTCAACATGGAAAGGTGGAAAGGAAGATAAATGATAAAACCTAAATTTACAAATGACACCCCAAACACATGCAACTACGGTGACTCAATAATACTTCCAATACTATGGAAAAATTCCGGATACAAAATTAAATACATAATATGAACACTGTATAGATGATTATTAGTAAACGTATGGAAAGAAAATTGCAACAACTAGTGTAACTACAAGTGATAATTTCGCCCGACATAATACGGAAATTTAACACTTATCATTGTGTGCAAACAACACTAAATACAAATTAAAATAAAATTATGATAAGACCTAACGATTCAAGCATTGATGTATATATATATATATATATATATATATGATTAGTAACCTAGCGAGCAGATGGCAACAACTCAGTTGATAGAGGAAAGACAGCATGTACAATGAAGATTCACCTGTCAGAAACTCACAGATATCATCAGTGAAAATCAAAGGACGTAGCTAACTAAATCGCAGAGAAATAATGTCATGTTTAATTACACATATTATAAGAGTATTTAACGGCCACTCAGCAAAACGTTTTCTAAACCAAATCCAATAGAAATAAATGAACAACGGTGGGAATCAAACAAACGTTGATGAACTTAAGCATTACATATACGGTATGGTTGCCTGAAGGTTAGGATAAAATTTCGAAAGATAAACCCAATACTACAAAATTACTAGTATCAAAATTCCACAAAACCATGTAAAAACACAAACACGGTACACTATCAACACCAAAGGATACGCTATTCAGAATAATCGAGCAACAATGCAAGAAAAAATAATAGTTAAGCAAAAACGGAATGAAATGACTGAGCATATTTAACAAGTACAGTCAGAGGAGCATCCATTATTTCACATTTACTTAGAAAGTTAAGAGGGAAAACTACAACATATTCGCCACTGATCGTGAATTTAAAATATCTGACAATATATCGCAATTCTCACCATCATTTGATGAGTCGTGACTTACCGATCAAGACTAATTCAACAGAACTATTCTTTATGTATGAATACCACCTCATGGCTATGACATTTCATTTTTTTTCAACCAGGTTAACAAACAATGGATAGATATAGGTCACCAAAGCACATTCCTTTCACAACATCACTTCAGAGCTGTGCATCTACATAGTATTCTAGAACGCCATGTAAACGATTATATAGGTCAGTTGTTATTATCAGTTGGCAACAAAGTTCTTCGAAGAGGATTACCGACAACAGTTCCAGGAACATTCATGGTCGCATCTCTGCCTCAACTTCTTTAAGCAACAGCTTAATAACCAAAACGTCAATAACAATGACCCACTAGCAACAATGCTCTGCACTTAAATGCTTTAAAACCTCGCCTAGTTTTTGAGCCAGTAGCAAGCCCGAGAAGAGGAAGGGATAGCCATGGGAAATCAATGTAATCGCTACAGAAACTTCAAAGCACACGAAAAGTATATTTTAAAAAGTTATTCTTCTCTGGCAGCAAAAAATAGACGAAATGACCCCGGCTAGTGCAAGCCTTCGAGAAGCCAATCGGTTGATGTGTCACCTCTCGATGAAAGAACAAATAAGGGGGAGGTTGAATAATCGTATGATGTAAGAAGGTGGGAAGGCTACCCGGACTGTCGAAGAAATGTGATGTTGAATACGAATGTTAAAAATCTGTGACAGCGGGTAGAATGGCAGTGCACTCTTCAACTTGTAAACTGGAGAGATAGTAATCTACTCCAACCACTCATATAACAACCACGAGGATATTGAAGGAGTGGCCACCACGATGTTACCAACAAAAATCGAAACCATATTATGCAGTGCGGAAGAATCTCCACACGGATAATGACAGCAAGATCTAACTCAAAAGGAACGAAGGTTACAGTTATCCAATGCTACGCGCTTACAAACAACCCATAACAAGAGAAGGAAGATTTCTGTTGGCAACAGCAGATAGTAATGGATACGACACCAATATGACCATACGAAAATTCTAACGGGCGAAATGAATGTTAGACCGGAAGCAGAAAACATAAAATACGTCATCATCGGTCAACAGACACTCGGAGAAATGAATAAAAACGGTGAACTCTTCACAGACTTCTGCTCCTCCAGTGATTCTGTGAGTGAAAGCAGCGTGTACAATCATAAGTAAATGGACAAGGCTACATGGGTTCCTTCAAAACTCAGACAAACTTCATCTCAATCCCAAGAAAGTGGATACACAGTCTGTTGGACACGAAGTCGAGCACAAGTGGTCTCAGACCATCACCTAGTGCGAGGAACGTTCAAGGTAAAGCTGAAAGCCCTCAAAACAACAGGAGACAGACCGAAATTTAAGTCAAAACACTCAGAAACAGAAAGACTAAACTGCAAATGACACCTTCACTGCACCCATCAGAGTAAAGTCCGAGACACCAAGTAGCATCAGAGAGGAAACCTGTGTGGAAGAACGTTGGAACTGTCCGAAAGTGCTGCTCAAGGGAGCGTGTACAACCGTTTCAGGAAGAAAGAAGAGGCTAGACAAGGAATGGCGCTCTACGGACACCTGGAAGCTAACAGAGAAGAGGAGGATGGTGAAACAGAAGATGAACCAATGCAAAGATGGACAGCAGAAGGAGAAGCTGAGTTCAATGAATATCGCACTGAATAAAGAAGTGCAGGAGAGACAAAAGACAATTCTACGACACACTGACAACTGAAGCAAAACAGGTCAAGCCACAGGTAAGAGACCTCAGAACACTATATCAGATAACCAGATTATTATCCGGGAGGAAATCAACTCAGATGGAACCAATAAAAGACGGTCAATGGAACCTAACTGTCTGAGACCAGAGACAAACAAAACATTCGGCTGATCACTTCAACAGACTCGTCAACCGACTATCACCTGAAACCTGTCCAGAAATATCAATACCAGGAGGCACAGAACTGCCAGTGGACACCAATCCTCCAACGAAAACACAAGTCTCGAGTGCAATGAAGCTACTGAAGTCCGGGAAGGCAGCAGAACCGAACGGGATTCCTCCAGAAACACTGAAAACTGATTTAGAAGTCACAGCGGCTATCCTAACATCACTGTTGCAAAAAGTTTGGAAGGCAGGAAACGTACCTATTGACTGAAAGAAAGGCTACCTCATCGAACTGCCAAAAAAGGCGGAGTCAGGCCCTCACAAGAACCAATACGGAATTATGCTCTTGTTTACATTAAGCAAAATTTGGAACAAAATATTTAGAGCGAACAATTGTTTTCAATAAATTCTTCTTCAGGCTCTACAATTATAAATCCATTAATGTAAGCATACAATAGTTAGTAAAGGCGAATTAGAATCATATCAGAAAGTGTATTGTGGAACAAGTATAAGATGGGATGAAACAATAGTCATATAGTTTTTTTAATATGCATGGTCAATAACAACGTGGGACAGAATGAGATGAAATAATTTAATTTAATGATGTATATATATATATATATATAGTTAACAGAAAATACAGGTTTCAAGAGTGAGTGTAATCAGAATGTGTGAGGCAAAATGAAAATAAACCAACGAATGGGGCGGTCTAGACTTGAGTTCAAGGTTGAAAATAACAACAATAAGAATGATTGTAAAATAATAACGATGATATGGTGTAAAA